GGCTGGAGTGCAGTGGCACAATCTCAGCTCACTGCAAGCTCCACCTCCCGGGTTCACGCCATTCTCCTGCCTCAGCCTCCTGAGTAGCTGGGACTACAGGCGCCTGCCCACCATGTCCGGCTAATTGTTTGTATTTTTAGTAGAGACAGGGTTTCACTGTGTCTGCCAGGATGGGCTCGAGCTCCTGACCTCGTGATCCGCCTGCCTCAGCCTCCCAAAGTGCTGGGATTACAGGCGTGAGCCACCACATCCGGCCCAAAGGTTCTAATTTTTCTACGTCCTTGCTGATACCATCTTTTGTTTTTTTGATAGTGTCCAGCGTAATGGGTGTAATGTGATATCTCATGGTTTTGATTTGTATTTCCCTTATAAATATGACTTTTAAAACTTTCTTAGGTAGTTTAGTTTTTATTCTTATTTGTTGTATTTGGTTCTTTTTAAGTGTGCTTGACCTTTTTTTTTTGTTTCAGATTTTATGTTTCTTGTTCATATTTTTTCTTACAATATATTAAACGTATATATTTTGTATTCTATGATAATTATGACATTTATAGTCCGTGGGTTTGATTATGGTGTCCATTGTTTCTGCTGACTCCCATTCATGGTGCTTTATTTCCTTGTTTACTTTTTTGTTTCCTTGTTTACTTTATGACTTTTGTTTTTTTTCCATAATGTGAATTCATCTTTGGAACTGTTATCAGTGGAGCTCTTCAATGTTTTTGTTGGGGATATAGTCCTCCAGAGAGGTTTTATCTGTTTTCACTATTCCTGGGGAAGCACTGCTAATGAAGGGGACTTTGGGTTAAAATTTTTGCTTGAGGTTATTGAGCCCATTAAGCAGTATCAGTTGGCCTCATAAACCTTCATAGTTACAGATTCTTCGGAGACACTCCCTCCCTGACTTTTATCCAGTGGTATGGTTAACTCAAGCATGTTTATTTTCTGGTCTCTTCTTCAGAGTTGGGTTACTTTTCATTTATCCTTGTCTCTTGGGTGCAGCCCTTTGGTAGGCCCTTTGTGCAGGCCTATTTTCCTAGCCCTTTGTGCTGGCCTGCCTTTAGTTTCCTCTAGTTTTTATACTCCATATAGTTCAGAATAGGAGGATTAATGTCACCACAATTCATGAGAACTCCTCAGAGTGAAAGCTAACTGAAGACTCCCTTGCTCCTTAGGGCTCCCAGATTGATTTTGCTTTTTGACCCAGTGAGATTCCATATTTTCTTGTCAGGTCAGTGCAGCACTTAAAATTTTATCCAGCTCTTTTAAGTTTTCATCAGGAGAGTTTTTTTGGGATCTGTGGTTTGCCATACTTCTGGAAATGGAATTTAGGCGTCTCATTTGATGGGTGTCTTTTCTACTTCCCCTTACTCCTGAGAGCCACCTTGAGGCAGGAGCGAGGGGCCCATGGGAGTGGAGGTCACTGATTGCAGGAGTTACATGTTCTCTTATCTTCTGTGTCTGCAGAACCCAGGCCAGGATCCACCCCCTAGGACATGCCAGCCACTGTTACTGCCTGACCACAAAAGCTTGAGAGTGAACCTACAGAGACCAGAAATTGGGTAGTTGGGGAGAGGAAGGTAGAATAACATCAGGAGGAAAAAATATTTGTCATCCTTTCTGGAGCGCTAAGGGGGCATAGGAGGTGTGTTGGGGCAGGATTGATTGTATGTATGTGCATGCATAACTCTTAGAATTGGCTGCAAAGGGGCAGATGGAGTCAGAATTTGCCGAGTGTGGTTTGCCTTTATGGGTTCATAGGTAGACAGTTCAGTGAGCTTCCTGGCAGACTGGCAGGGTAGAAGTTCGTTGGAGAGGCTGGGCTAAAAAGCTGCCTGAGACAGCATGGGGAGTCTGTGGGATTAGCCCTTTGGTAAGGGCTCTGGCCACACAACATTGGAGTTGTATTTTCAGGTGACCAGGACAACCAGTTGATGATGGGGTCATTTGGGCCATGGTTTGCGTGTAGGGTACTGAACAACTCCTAACACTCTTTTTCCTGGCCACATAGCATTTTCACTTTATCACTGTCTGTGTGCCTTGTGGCTCGGGAGCTGTTCGTTGGCCCCTGAGAACAGCCCACTGAGCTGGTGGATGGAGGAGAAGAGGCTGGAGGCATTAATGTCCCCCTGCTCTGTCCCTGTTATGGGAGGAAATGGACTCGGGAGCTACTTTGCTGAGTATTTTTGCTTTCAAGGCCCTGGGCTCTGTAGTTGAGTCTTAAGGATAGGGGCAAGTGACCCTTTGGTGGTACCTGCCTGAAACGGTCTCAGCTAGGGGATAGCAGAGGGGGCAGAGACCTGCTATGTCTAATACGTTAGAGAAAATTAGGAAGCAGACCTGGGGAAGATTAGGAAGATGATGCTAAGGGTTTTACTTTAGCCTTCAGGAGAGGCCTTTGGATTCTCATAGGAAAAAAAAACATTCTCAAGGCCTCTCCTGAGGGTACTGGCCCAGCTCTTGTGTCCGCTGGACCCTGTAAGCAAGCACTGTGTGTATCTATAATGTAGATCAGACCCAGCTACTATGTCAGTGTTGTATATACAGTTGTGATCAGGCTCAGCCTCCCTCTGAGTGTGCTTTGGATGTACAGTGGAGATCAGACCCAGACTAGAGCAGATAGTATTCATGAAATGGAGACTGGTTCCCATTCATTCACAGAAGGAGACTGGTTTGTGAAGGGCGTGCTCTGAGTAGCTGACAAAGGGAGCCTTGACTCAGTTATGGAGAACTGGTCAGAAGCAGTGTGACTGAGCCGACTTCAGGGCCAGGTGGGGCTTCATTTGGTGGGGGTGAGGTAGGAATTAAAATGAATTTTAGACAAGTAAGGCCACATTCACCTGAATAGTGCTGACACTTGTCTTTGTATTTGGCATTTTTATGGAAGGGCTACATATGCATGTGTCAAGCCACCGTGAGTGCGATGACTGCAGGTACAAAAGGACCCATGTGTGTTGCATTGATGATGACTTGTGCCGCAAAGACTGGTACTACTGGTGATGTAATTTTTCAAAATGGTCAACAAGCGTCGGTGAAGTTCTGATAAAAAGATCTTCGTTTTCTCTACTGTTAGTATGTTTACTATACTATATTAAAATTGTGCAAAAGGTGTTTTATATTTATGTAAATCTGAGTTTGGTTCTAAGCCCAAGTTAAATCATTGCACATAGGTTTTGGCAGGACAGATGGAAGTTGTGAGGGTATGAGACGGGTGTGGCTGTGGGACTGACCCACACGTGTGGGATCGCTGTAACCCTTTCCACCCCTTCTGCCATTGTGACAACCAACCTTCTCCCCCAACAAATTTTAAAGCACCTTCTGGGTGCTCTGCTTCCTCCCTCCACTAACCGCCGCTGTTCTGGGTGCTGCAGGGAGACCGAGAAGGGTATGACGCCAGGCGGGAGAGCTGTTGGAGACATGCAGAGTGGGGTTGTTGGTCTATTCTTGCTGTTGGAAAAGTGGCCCAGAGTGAGTTGTCCAGACACATTAAAATGCATAGAAAGGTTAACATCTTAAAATGAGAAGTTAACTTGAATCAGCTGTCCAGGTGGTTTGCCGGCAGTCACACCATTTTGAAAATATTGGCACAGGGTCCCTGTGGTGCTGAGATATTTCCATAGCCTGAATCCTTGTGGAACTCACATCATCATTGTGTGCAAATGCAAATCCCCTACTCCTATAATTAATTTCTGTGAGCTCTGGATAAACAGGGATGCCTCCTGACTTCTGTTTGCATTTCCCCCCAGTATTACTGCATTTTATCAGTTTATTGACAGGGTCAGGGTGACTGGTTTTCCATTAAATTTTTCAAGCGTGACTGTCTAATCTCCTGGAAAACTAAGTAGATGCCCTTGGACACTAACACTTTCCAAATCTGTTGTGATTTTGTTCTGCATTGCTAGGCAAGTCACTTCTTTCCAGGCCTCAGTTTCCTCAATGGTTAAATGGGGGTTATTACAACCTCAAGAAGTTATGAAGGGAATTAAATGCATTGACATCGGTAAAAATGCTTAAAACAGTACTTAACACTTAAATGCTCACTTGCTAAAAGGGTTTCTAATGTCTTTACTCCAAAATATTTCAAACATACAGAAAATACAGAGAAAAATATATCAATATCCATGTCCCCACCTCCCAGATTTAACACATATTAACACATTTTGCCATATTTGATTCAGATTTTTTTTTAAATATGGAGCACTTACGAATTTTCATGTCATCTTTGTGGACAGGCTATGCTAATCTTCTCAGTATTGGTCCAGTTGTAGTACATGTGCTGCCGAAGTGAGCACTCAGATTGTGTAAAAAGAACTAACAGATCTGGTTGGCCTTTCTCTCCCCACGACCCCATCTCATCTTCCACTTCCTCACTCCAGTTTCCCTCCCTCCCCTGTGGGTACCCCCTTCTGTGAAGAGCTAGCGTGTAACTTTCCAGTTCTGGTTTTATACTCCTATCCTGCACTGTATCTGTTGACAACACAGGGAATTTCTTGTGGATGTTTGTAGTTACATAAGTGGGTGTTCTACACTTTCTCTCTGCAGCTTTGTTTCATTAAGTGTTGTTTTCAGGATCCTTATGCTTTCTTGGTAGTTCATTTGTTTAAACTTCTATGTAATGTAATTATATTCACTTCCCAGTTGGTAGTCTTTTAGGTTTTTCTGATGTTTAGCTGTTACGGACAGTGCAGCGGGATGTTCTACTGGCATCTATTAGTAGAAGCCAGGGATGCCATAAACATCCTAGAATGCAGTGGAAGGCCCTCTGCCATCCCACAAGCAAAGACTCATGTAGCCCCAAATGTCATCTACTTTAGAATGTATTTTGGTGTGAGTTTTGAGATGAAGGATTTGTTCTTTTTCCCTCTGAATAACCAGTCGACCCAGACACTGTTAAGGTAATGAATTTTAAGTCAGAGATATTTTTCCCTTAAATGGTAGAAAAGATCCTGTTGCCTTGCTTCTTAAGATACAATTTTTTAAAATTGACCTTTCTTGTCTTACAGGTTCTTAGACTCTGTGAGTAAAGACAGCTTCGTCTTCCCAGTTCATCATGGCTTCAACATCCAGGTAGGAGTGCTGTTTGATCAAATGTTTTATTGAAGAATTTATTCCCCTATGTTTTTGAAAGGCCAAGTCCATGACATTTTTAGCTCTTGGCCTCAGTATAACAGTTGGTGTCCAGGAAGTATAAAGGAAGAAGGGAGAGGAGATGGGAGAAGAATGGGAAAAATGGGAAAAGGCCGATGGTTGTGTGATATGGGTGTGGTCATGTAGCACTAATGTGTACACTCGACAGAAAACCATGACTTCACTTTCCTCATCTTTCAAGATAAGGACACCAGATGGTTACTCCTGGGGCCACCTCAGTCCCTGCAGGCTTTCTCATGCCCGGGGTTGGAACAGTCATGTGCAGAAGTTGTTTGAGGGTTTGGGGGTGAGGAGGAGCTTGGGCAGTCAAAACTGGTAGAGACCTTGAGCTTGCAGCCCTGGATCTACCCCTGTGAACTGGGTGAGGCCAGGTCAAGAGAGTGTGAAGATGGCTGCTGTCCCCTGAGAACCGTACTCCAAGGCCCATGAGAAGGGCTTTGAATTTCCTTTCCCTTCACACTGGTCTCTTGTCCTGGCCCATGCAGAGGGGGAATGAGTGAATACCTCACCTCCCTGGAGGTCAGCATGGCGGCTGACAGTCAGTCTCCAGACAGTGAGGTTAGAGTGAATTTCTAATGCAGCCTGAACTCCAGAGTCCATGGGCAGGTCTGTGCTGATGTCACCTCTGTGGTAAATCCTGTTGCCTTCCTTTGGGATGGAGGGTCCTCACATAGAGGTTGGGGTCTGCAAAGGGGCACAGGGAAGCTGCAGGGACCTCTGTGCCTACCCTCTCTGCTGAGTCCATTCTCACAGCCAGGGTGATGTGTTTACAGCCTAGATGTGACTCCTCACTGCCCTGTTCCATGGTTTACCCCCACCCTTGGGGCTACCTATGGTAGCTGAACACTGGAAGTCCTGGCCAGGGCCTGTGGAGTCCTGTGGGGCCTGGTTCTCTCTAGCTCTGCTCTGCTCTCTTGTCCTCATTGCACCTGCAGCCTCGCTGACCTCCTTGCCCTTCTGCATATGTCGAATCCCTTCAGTGTCAGGGCCGTGTGCCTGTGGTTCTTTCTGTCTGCCTGGGACATCTTGTCTCCAGCTGTCTGCAGGGCTCATTCTCTCACTGCCTTCAGGCCTCCCACCCTGTGAGCCTTCTCTCACCATTCTGTCCAAAATAGCACCCCTGGCTCTACCCCTTTGTTGCATTGTCCCTTATCGGGGATGGCATTCGTCGCTACCTGACACCGTCCTGCATAGCTACTTGTTTGTTGATCTGTTGTCTGACTCCTTCAGTTAGAACTAAAGTGCTGTGCAGGTTGGGAGTGGAGTTTACCCATCACCAGCCCCTGGGCAGCACCTGCTCACTGTCTGTGCTCAAATGCAAGTACAGAGAGTCTCTCACTTAGCACGGTTCAACTGAAGGTGGTGTAAAAGCCAGATACATTCTGTAGGAACTGTACTTTGAGTATCCATACAGTCACTCTGTTTTTCACTTTCAGTCCAGTAGTCAATAAATTATATGAGCTATTTAATACTTAATTATAAAATAGGCTTTGTGTTAGATGACTTTTTTTTCCCAACTATAGGGTAATGTAAATGTTTTGAGCATGTTTAAGGTAGGCTGGGCTAAGCTATGATGTTTGGTAGGTTAGGTGTATTAAATGCATTTTCGACTTATGACATTTTTAACTTATAAGGGGTTTATTGGGATGTAACCTGATTGTAAGTCGAATTGGGATGTAACCTGATTGTAAGTCAAGGAGCACCTGTATCACTCACCATCCATTTGGTTCCTGTGTCCACAGGGCCAGAGAGTGTCAGGAGTTTCCATGTTTTCCAAATTGATTTGGCTTCTGAATTGCAGTTAGCATACAGTAGGATAGCCGCAAGGGAGCTATCTGAAAATCCACATCTGCTCAGTTCTTGAATTTGGGTAGTGAGAGTTCAAGTAGGGAGAGTTTGAGAATTTGGGGAATGAGGGAAACTTCCATTTGTCAGTAAGAGAGGGAAGGTATAGTAAGACAAATGTAATTGCAGAGCTCCTAGGGCTATTGAGTCTGAGGGGACAGGAGTGGGTGTCACTCCAGCTGACCAGGGCTCCCTGTTGCCAGTTTCTGTTATCTGGAGTGATGACAGCAGCATCTGGATTCATCGCTAAAGGGGATCCTCTGTTTTAGAACACGTCATTTAAGAAGGAAAGGAGGTAGGTAAGACCTCTTTATTCTGTCTCCCATTGTCAAAATACTTCTGCACTTAAAAACATCATCTGGCCGGGCGCGGTGGCTCAAGCCTGTAATCCCAGCACTTTGGGAGGCCGAGACGGGCAGATCACAAGGTCAGGAGATCAGGACCATCCTGGCTAACAAAGTGAAACCCCGTCTCTACTAAAAAATACAAAAAACTAGCCAGGCGAGGTGGCGGGCGCCTGTAGTCCCAGCTACTTGAGAGGCTGAGGCAGGAGAATGGCGTGAACCCGGGAGGCGGAGCTTGCAGTGAGCTGAGATCTGGCCACTGCACTCCAGCCTGGGCAACATAGCAAGACTCCATCTCAAAAAAAAAAAACAAAAAAGCATCATCTGTGGGCTGGGTGCCATGGCTCGCGCCTGTAATCCCAGCACTTTGGGAGACTGAGACGGGCGGATCACGAGGTCAGGAGATCAAGACCATCCTGACTAACATGGTGAAACCCCATCTCTACTAAAAATAAAAAAAGGTTAACGTGGCGTGGTGGCATGCACCTATAGTCCCAGGTACTCGGGAGGCTGAGGCAGGAGAATTGCTTGAACCTGGGAGGTGGAGGTTGCAGTGAGTTGAGATCGCACCCCTGCACTCCAGCCTGGGTGACAGAGTATGACACCGTTTCAAAAAAAAATAATAAAAAGCAAAATCTGTGTTTAGCTAGAAAATTTACTTACTGAATGCTGTGCCTTGTGGTGCCAGATCTGTGAAGCCATTCAAATGAAAGTGTTTTATAGAGAGAGCATACTCCTCTTTTCTGCTGAAGCATTGGCTTTCTGGCATGGCCTCTTCCTGATTCTGTTTCCTGTCATAACAGAGATGTCATTGCTGGGAGAGGTACCCACTCAAAGGTGAAGTCTGCAAAGCTGCTCGAGGTTCTGAATGCTATGGAGGAGGAAGAGTCCAACAGCAACAGGGAAGAGATTTTCATTGCACCTCCCGACAATGCTGCGGGGGAATTCACTGATGAGGACTCAGGTGATGAAGACAGCCAGCGAGGTGCTCACCTGCCTGGCAGTGTGCTGCATGCTTCAGTCCTGTGTGAGGACTCTGGCACCGGCGAGGATAACGATGACCTGGAGCTGCAACCAGCCAAGAAGAGGCAGAAAGCAGTTGTGAAACCTCAGCGCATTTGGACAAAAAGAGATATTCGTCCAGACTTTGGCAGTTGGACGGCATCAGATCCTCATATTGAGGATCTGAAAAGCCAAGAGCTGAGTCCTGTGGGCCTTTTTGAGTTGTTTTTCGATGAAGGAACAATTAATTTCATTGTTAATGAAACCAATCGTTATGCTTGGCAGAAAAATGTCAATCTGAGTCTTACGGCTCAGGAATTGAAGTGTGTTTTGGGCATTTTGATTTTAAGTGGGTACATCTCTTACCCAAGGAGAAGGATGTTCTGGGAAACCTCTCCTGATTCACATCATCATCTTGTGGCCGATGCAATTAGAAGGGACAGATTCGAACTAATCTTCTCATACTTACATTTTGCAGATAACAACGAACTTGATGCAGGTGATAGGTTTGCCAAGGTCAGACCTCTCATCATCCGGATGAACTGCAATTTCCAGAAGCACGCACCCTTGGAAGAGTTCTACAGCTTTGGCGAGTCTATGTGTGAGTACTTTGGGCACCGGGGGTCCAAGCAGCTGCACAGGGGGAAGCCTGTGCGACTTGGCTACAAGATTTGGTGTGGGACAACCAGCAGAGGCTACTTGGTGTGGTTCGAGCCCTCACAGGGCACACTTTTTACCAAGCCAGACAGGAGCCTGGATCTAGGAGGCAGTATGGTAATAAAATTTGTGGATGCGCTTCAGGAGCGTGGTTTTCTGCCATATCACATATTTTTTGACAAGGTTTTTACAAGTGTTAAACTGATGTCCATTTTGAGGAAAAAGGGGGTGAAGGCCACAGGAACTGTTCGTGAGTACAGGACTGAGCGATGTCCCCTAAAAGACCCCAAAGAACTGAAAAAAATGAAGAGGGGTTCATTTGATTACAAAGTCGATGAGAGTGAGGAGATCATCGTGTGCCGCTGGCACGATAGCAGCGTGGTCAACATCTGCTCCAATGCCGTGGGCATAGAGCCAGTGAGGCTGACCAGTCGTCACTCTGGAGCAACTAAAACGCGGACTCAGGTCCACCAGCCATCACTGGTGAAGCTGTATCAGGAGAAGGTGGGCGGTGTTGGTAGGATGGACCAGAATATTGCCAAGTACAAGGTGAAGATCCGAGGCATGAAGTGGTACTCAAGCTTTATTGGCTATGTCATTGATGCTGCCCTCAACAATGCATGGCAGCTGCACAGGATCTGCTGCCAAGATGCCCAGGTGGACCTCCTTGCCTTCCGGAGATACGTCGCCTGTGTGTACCTGGAGAGCAATGCTGACACGACCTCTCAAGGGAGGCGAAGCAGGCGGTTGGAGACTGAGAGCCGCTTTGATATGGTTGGACACTGGATTATCCACCAGGACAAGAGGACCCGATGTGCCCTCTGCCACTCGCAGACCAACACCCGGTGCGAGAAGTGCCAGAAGGGTGTCCATGCCAAGTGCTTCAGGGAGTACCATATCCGGTGACATCAGGAGACATGCTTGTTTGGTTTATAATGAGATGTTCACAGTTAAATACAGATAGCAGTTGATCACTTCTGTTTTGTGTTGGAAAAAAGACCTGAATTTCTGATGACTTGGTTTTCTCTTTTCTCCCTACCCACAATTGTTATCTTTTTTATTGTGTTCTATTATGCCTACATGGATATCAATTAATATTTATATTCATTTATATTTATATTTTTGAACTTATTTATTTAAAGTTGTGGGACCACTTTTTATTCAGATAAAAGTTGTGCTTTGGGGTATATTTGAATCCTAGGAAGAAGAATCAGAGGAAAACTTGCAAGAACAGTAAGAAGACTTGACCATTGCATGCCATGGTTTATAATCTAACATAGGCAATAGTGTATAAATATCATGTAAATGTGATTGATTTCTTAATCCTATTTATTTCATATTAATCTAAGTTTATCAAACTTTCCAAGGATAGATAATCTGCCTTGTATTTAGTCAGAGGGCTAGAGTTTCAGAGTTCATATTTTCTTGATAAAAATATTTTCCTAATACACATATATCAATGTGGGATTCATTTTATAAAAAATTATTTTTTTAATTTTTGTGGGTACATAGTAGTTGTGTATTTTTATGGGTTACGTGAGATATTTTGATACAGACATGCAATGTGGAAAAACCACATCAGGGTAAATGGGCTATCCATCCTGTCAAACATTTGTCCTTTGTGTTACAAACCAATTATACTGCTAGTTATTTTAAAATGTACAATTAAATTGTTTTTAACTGTATTCACCCTGTTGTGCTAGCAAATACTAGGTCTTATTCTTTCTATTTTTTCATACCCATTAACTATTGCCCCCCTCTCCCCCACTCCCTAACCACCCTTGCCAAGCTCTAGTAACCTTCTTTCTACTCTCTATGTCCATGAATTCAATTGTTTTCATTTTTGGCTCCCACAAATAAGTGAGAACATCTGAAGTTTGCCTTTCTTTGCTTGGCTTATTTCACTTAACATAATGACCTCCACTCCCATTCATGTTGTTGCAAATGACTGAATATCATTTTTTTTGTGGCTAAATATTAATAATACTTCATTGTGTATATGTACATTTTCTTTATCCATTCTTCTGTTGATGGACACTTAGGTTTCTCCCAAATCATGACTGTTGTGAATAGTGCAGAATATAAACATTGGAGTTCAGATCTTTCTTCAGTATACTGATTTTTTTTCTTTTGGGTGTGTACTTAGGAATGGGATTCCTGAATAATATGGTAGCTCTATTTTAGTTTTTGAGGAACCTTCAAACTGTTCTCCATACAGGTTGTACTAATTTACAGTCCCACCAACAATATTCGAGGGTTCCCTTTTCTCCACATCCTTGCCAGCATTTGTTATTGTCTGTCTTTTGGATTAAAGCCATTTTTACCGGGATGAGATATCTCAATGTGTTGAGTACCTTTTTGTATACCTGTTTGCCATATGTACTTTTTGTTTTTGTTTTGAGATGGAGTTGCCTTGTCACCCAGGCTGGAGTGCAGTGATGTGTGATCTCGGCTCACTGCATCCTCTGTCTCCTGAACTCAAGTGATTCTCCTGCCTCAGCCTCCCAAGTAGCTGGGATTATAAGCACCCACCACCACACCCGGCTAATTTTTCTATTTTTAGTAGAGATGGTGTTTCACCATGTTGGTCAGGCTGGTCGTGAACTCTTGAGCTCAAGTGATTTGTCCACCTCAGCCTCCCAACGTACATCTTTTTTTTCTTTTTTTAAATTATACTTTAAGTTCTGGGGTACATGTGCAGAATATGTAGTTTTTGTTACATAGGTATACACATGGCATGGTGGCTTGTTGCACCCATCAACCTGTCACCTACATTAGGTATTTCTCCTACTGTTATCCCTCCTAGCCTCCCACCCTCCGACAGGCCCTGGTGTGAGGTTCCCCTCCGTATGTCCATGTGTTCTTATTGTTCAACTCCCACTTATGAGTGAGAACATGCAGTGTTCAGTTTTCTGTTCTTGTGACAGTTTGTTGAGAATGATGGTTTCCAGCTTCATCTATGTCCCTGCAAAGGACGTGAACTCATCCTTTTTTATGGCTGCATAGTATTCTGTGCTGTATATGTGCCACATTTGCTTTATCTAGTCTATTATTGATGGACATTTGGGTTGGTTCCAAGTCTTGCTATTGTGAATAGTGCTGCAATAAACATACATGTGCATGTGTCTTTGTAGTAGAATGATTTATAATCCTTTGGGTATATACCCAGTAATGGGATTGCTGTGTCAAATGGTATTTCTAGTTCTAGATTCTTAAGGAATCGCCACACTGTCTTCCACAATGGTTGAACTAATTTACACTCCCAACAGTGTAAAAGCGTCCCTATTTCTCCACATCCTCTCCAGCATCTATTGTTTCCTGACTTTTTAATGATCGCCATTCTAACTGGCGTAAGATGGTACCTCATTGTGGTTTTGATTTGCATTTCTCTAATGACCAGTGATGATGAGCATTTTTTCATATGTCTGTTGGCTGCATAAATGTCTTCTTTTGAGAAGTGCCTGTTCATATCCTTTGCCTACTTTTTGATGGGGTTTTTTCTTGTAAATTTGTTTAAGTTCTTTGTAGATTCTGGGTATTAGCCCTTTGTCAGATGGATAGATTGCAAAAATTGTCTCCCATTCTGTAGGTTGCCTGTTCACTCTGATGATAGCTTCTTTTGCTGTGCAGAAGCTCTTTAGTTTAATTAGGTGTTTTAGACATGAAGTCTTTGCCCATGCCTGTGTCCTAGCCCAGGTTTTCTTCTAGTATTTTTATGGTTCTAGGTCTTACATTTAAGTCTTTGATCCGTCTTGAGTTGCTGTTTGTATAAGGTGTAAGGAAGGGGTCCAGTTTCAGTTTTCTGCATATGGCTAGCCAGGTTAACCCAACTCTATTTATTAAATAGGGAATCTTTTCACCATTGCTTGTTTTTGTCAGGTTTGTCAGAAATCAGATGGTTGTAGATGTGGGTGTTGTTTCTGAGGCCTCTGTTCTGTTCCATTGGTCTATGTATCTGTTTTGGTACCAGTACCATGCTGTTTTGGTTACTGTAACCTTGTAGTATAGTTTGAAGTCAGGTAGCATGATGCCTCCAGCTTTGCTCTTTTTGCCCAGGATTGTCTTGACTATGTGTGCTCTTTTTTGGTTCTGTATGAAATTTAAAGTAGTTTTCTCCAATTCTGTGAAGAAAGTCAGTGTTAGCTTGATGTGGATAGCATTGAATCTATAAATTACTTTGGGCAGTATGACCATTTTAATGATATTGATTCTTCCCATCCATGAGCATGGAATATTTTTCCATTTGTTTGTGTCCTCTCTCCCTTCCTTGAGCAGTGGTTTGTAGTTCTCCTTGAAGAGGTCCTTCACATCCCTTGTAAGTTGTATTCCTAGGTATGTTATTCTCTTTGTAGCAATTGTGAATGGGAGTTCACTCATGATTTGGCTCTCTGCTATTGGTGTATAAGAATGCTTGTGATTTTTGCACATTGCTTTTATATCCTGAGACTTTGCTGATGTTATTTATCAGCTTAAGGAGATTTGGGGCTGAGACGATGGGTTTTTTTTTTTTTTTTTTTTTTTTGGGACACAGGGTCTTGCTCTGTCGCCCAGACTGGAGTGCAGTGCAGTGGCACGATCTCAACTCACTGCATGCTCTGCCTCCCAGGTTCATGCCATTCTCCTGCCTCAGCCTCCTGAGTAGCTGGGACTACAGGTGCCCGCCACCACGCCCAGCTAATTTTTTGTATTTTTAGTAGAGACGGGGTTTCACCATGTTAGCCAGGATGGTCTCAATCTCCTGACCTTGTGATCCACCTGCCTTGGCCTCCCAAAGTGCTGGGATTACAGGCATGAGGCACCATGCCTGGCTAAGACAATGGGGTTTTCTAAATACACAATCATGTCATCTGCAAACAGAGACAATTTGACTTCCTCTCTTCCTATTTGAATACCCTTTTTTTCTTTCTCTTGCCTGATTACCCTGGCCAGAAGTTCCAATACTGTGTTGAATAGGAGTGGTAAGAGAGGGCATCTTTGTCTTGTGCTGGTTTTCAAAGGGAGTGCTTCCAGTTTTTGCCCAGTCAGTATGATATTGGCTATGAGTTTGTCATAAATAGATCTTACTATTTTGAGATACGTTTCATCGATACCTAGTTTATTGAGAGCTTTTAGCATGTAGGGCTGTTGAATTTTGTCGAAGGCCTTTTCTGCATCTATTGAGATAATCGTGGTTTTTGTCTTTGGTTCTGTTTATGTGATGGATTACGTTTGTGGATCTGCATATGTTGAACCAGTCTTGCATCCCAAGGATGAAGCTGACTTGATCGTGGTGGATAGGCCTTTTGATGTGCTGCTGGACTTGGTTTGCCAGTTTTTTGTTGAGGATTTTTGCATCAATGTTCATCAGGGATATTGGCCTGAAATTTTCTTCCTTTGCTGTGTCTTTGCCAGGTTTTAGTATCAGGATGATGCTGGCCTCATAAAATGAGTTAGGGAGGATTCCCTCTTTTTCTATTGTTTGGAATAGTTTCACAGAAGGAATGGTACCAGCTCCTCTTTGTACCTCTGGTAGAATTCGGATGTGAATCCGTCTGGTTCTGGACTTTTTTTGGTTGGTAGGCTATTAATTACAGCGTCAATTTCAGAACTTGGTATTGGCTTGTTCAGGGATTCGACTTCTTCCTGGTTTAGACTTGGGAGGGTGTATGTGTCCAGGAATTTACCTATGTCTTCTAGATTTTCTAGTTTATTTGCATATATATGTTTATAGTATTCTCTGATGATAGTTTGTATTTCTGTGGGATCAATGATGATATCCCTTATATCTTTTTTTATCGCGTCTATTTGATTCTTCTCTCTTCTTTATTAGTCTGGCTAGCGGTCTATTTTGTTGCTCTTTTCAAAAAACCAGCTCCTAGATTCATTGATTTTTTTTTTGAAGGGTTTTTCGTGTCTCTATCTTCTTCAGTTGTGCTCTGATCTTGCCACCAGCCCACCTCGCATCATCATTTACATGGAAATATTGGGACTGAGCTGACCTCATGCCTCTCAGTTCCCAGCCAGCTTTCTCTCCCTCTGGCTCTTAGCCAGCCTGTTAAACATTAAAAAATCAGTAAGACAATTGAAAAACACCCTAGTGTTCTAACAAGTTACACATAATTGCTTGCTTACCAATTGTCTACCTCAGAACTTTCTTTTCCTCATAGAGTCAATATAATCATCTATTTTAAATTTGGCTTTTGCCATTTTACAGTCCAAGATTCAGGACTTTGCATGGGGCATGGATGGATTTCCACAGTCAGCATGAGGATGGGAGAAGAACAGGGCAGATCCAGCCCCACTCAGTGAGAGTTCTGGCTAGAGTTACTTGGCCGGACCTCACTCCAGAGAGAGGAGACCTTCCTCTGGAGCAGCTACCAAGACAGCTCCTATTTGGAAAGTGTTTTCTTCTAAGGTGAGATGCAGCCCCCACTGGAGAGGAAGACACCAGAGAGTTTTAAAAAGGAAAAACCAAGGTAAGCCGTTACCAGTTTCTTGACAGGGGACACAGCAGAGTCCACCCAGCTGGGGTGAATCTCCACAGTTCCCCAATGGGATGGCAGGCGGGAGCCCCAAGTCATTGGCCCCTGCATTGTGGGAGCAGTGTGAGCCATCTGCAGTGACATTGTCTCCTCCGGCAGCAGCCTCCATCCAGAAATCCATCTCAGGGTCTGTCCTCACAGGAACCTGATGCCAGAGCTGTGCG